CAGCAAGTTAAAGTGCAAGCATCACAGGCAGTCAATCCCTTTGACCTGTTCTCCTTTTCAAATATTAACAGACATATTGACATTCCCCACCTTGTATTTAGTATCACCCTCCATCTATCAAGTCATAACTGTAGCAGTTGTAATCAGACATTAGATAATCTAGTCTCCTACACTTATATTCTGCTACTACTCCAATAAACCAAAAGCAGTTAACTATCTTCTGAAGGAGATATGAAAGTTTTGTTCATTGCATAGAGTATACTCAGGGGTTTGAGACATAGATCATTAGCTCCCCCCTTGAAAATCTTTGCTTTTTTCTTTATACTACCACCAAGTATAAAGAACATGTTTCTTTAGTTCTAGAACAAATATAGATAGATCACTTAGATAACCATGGTATAAGGCATCTTACATAATTTAATCTGATCCCCTTTTAAAACTGAATACTGAGGCTAAGAACTTGCCAATTTGCATAACTGCACAACCAACTGCAGAAATAGATATAAGTAGAAGCTTCCTACCTCTTCTTTTGTAACCACATAGGGCAATGGACAGAATACTGGCCTGATATATGTATAGAAGTACAATGATTACTGTTCTTGCTATAAATAGCAATAACCCCCCTTTTCATCCTTATAAATCAATTACCAACCAATCATAATAAAAGGCCAGGGGATCATAAGCGTAAAGACCGGAACGACGGACCGCTCGAGCAGTCTCCATGAGGTGCATTGACCACCTCTCGGTCCCCACCCCTTGCGGGGGACCACGAGGAAGCGGGTGAGTGGTGGCAGAGCAGGACTGGGGACTGGCAAGCAGCGAAACGGCTGACCTCTTGGTCCCTCCCCACCGGCCCGCAGGCTGATGGATCAGTGATGGTGAACGGGGAAGTGGGGTGGGTGGCAGGAGGACCAGGATGGCTGTCAGGCCGTTGGGATTCCCAGCTCATCCCCAGCTGCTCGGGGGCTCAGGCCAGCAGGAAAGCGAGCTCTGATGACTTCACCTCCATGCGCGAGCACTGGGCCAGCCGCTAATGGAACGCGCTTGCTCGCTCAGGACTGCACATGCTGGCGCCGCCACCGTGTATATCTCTGCCTCGCCCCAGGACAAATTGTGTTAATAAAAAGCATGGGGTCCTGAGACGAGGAGACCTTAGAACAGTGATGGCGAACCTTTTGAGCTCGGCGTGTCAGCATTTTGAAAAACCCTAACTTAACTCTGGTGCCGTGTCACATACAGAAATTTTTTGATATTTGCAACCATAGTAAAACAAAGACTTACATTTTTGATATTTATTTTATATATTTAAATGCCATTTAACAAAGAAAAATCAACCAAAAAAAATAAGTTCGCGTGTCAGAGGTTCACCATCACTGCCTTAGAACTTAGATCTTAGTTTCCTTTAAACTAGGCTCCTCTGACCCCCAAATGCCTTTCAAAATTATGCTTCGTTTCTGGACTCCTATTTAATCTACGCACAGCCTTCTCCAGATTTCCTGAACCCTTCTTAATGCTGGAACAAGAACCTCGGCAAGAAATACTTTCACTTATTATATAAATTCCAATTATTTAGAATTATGATTATTTTCACATTATGGTCACTAGCAAGAGCTCAATAAACATTTCTTGAGGTTCTTGGCATTTCTCTGTGCCTCAAAGCTTTCAAGTATTCTTTAAAAGGTAATGATATGTTACGGATCTAACAGGTTTGAACACCACCTATTATTCACCAGTTAATCTACCAACAATTAAAATGTATACAACTTTTACTTACATTTGATTCTTTGCTGCTTGCCTCTGGGCTTTTCTTTCTTTCCTTTTCTGATCTGGTGGCTTAGCAAAAACAATTTCAATATTTTCTCCTTCCAAGTCCTTGCCATTCATTTCTTCCATAGCCTTAAAAAATTAGATATTGATCAATATGAGGCCTTCAAAACAATTATGATCCATTTAAAGTTAAAAAAAATCATTTAACATTAAAAAGATTAAATAGGTTAGATTTTATTTAAAGATCCAGCTCTTCAACTGATTGTCTTTTTTACTTGGTTTAGTGAGTTACACAACTTGCCAAGGACAATAAAGTATGAGTAGATTACCTGACCAGATTTTCCTTCAATTTTTTAAAAAAACATTCTGATTCTAGGATAAAATAGTCTACTTTACATGCCTATAACAATTCCCCGTTACTTACCTTGACAGCACCATCTCGCTCATCAAAATGAATAAAAGCATAATCTTTTAGTTTCTTCACTCGTTCCAGTTTCCCAAACTGACTAAATGCCTTTTCTAAAATCTCTTCTGTTACAGTATTGGCAAGGTTGCGTACAAACAGCACTTTTACCTGAAATTTAAGAAAAAAACAGAAACTCCCTGTATATTTCCAGAGTTCAATTTTCAAAATGCCACCACCCATCCTGCAAAGTTAACTTTAGTCACAATCCATTAGAAGAATATCAGAAATATTTTTAAAAGACTTAAGTTTTCAACTCATTTGGGTATATACCAAGGAGCATGACTGCTGGGCACAAAACTGAATAGACATCTCACCAAAGAACATATACAGAAGGCAAGTAAGCATATGATGAGATGCTCAACATCATGTCATTAGGGAATTACAAATTAAAACAACAGTGAGATACCATTACACACCTATAAGAATGGCCAAAATCTAAAACATTATCACCACCAAATGCTGTTGAGGATATGAAGCAACAGGAACATTGTTGGTGGGAAGGCAAGATGGAATAACCAATTTGCAGAGCAGCTACTTAGAAAACTAAGCATATTTTTACCATATGATCCAGTAATCCAGCAAATTACACTCATTATTTACGCAAATGAGTTGAAAATACATCCACACAAAAACGTGTAGATATGTACAGAATCTTTATTCCTAATTGCCAAAATCTGGAAATAAGAAATCCTTTTGTAGGTGAATGGATAAACTGTGGTACATTCAGACAATGAAATATTATTCAGTGTTAAGAGAAAATGAGCCAAGAAGCCATAACATGGAGAACACCTTAAATGCATATACCTAAAAGAAGGTAAGCTTTAAAAGCTACATATATATGAGTCCAACTATATGACATTTGGGAAAAGGCAAAATTATGGACAGTAGAAATATCAATAATTGCCAGTGGTTAGAAGGGAGGAAAGGATGAATAGGCAGATCAAGGAGATTCCTAAGGCAGTGAAACTATTCTGTATACTACAGAGGTAAATACAGTCATACATTTATCAAACCTGAAGAATGTATAAACACCAAGAGTGAATTCTAATGCAACCTATGGATTTTGAGTTATAAAAGACCACATACTCAGTATTTATTAAATTAGTAATTATTTTGCAACCAAAATGGAAGTGGTTATGTCCTAAAAATGTGAATACCATGCCCTCTGAAATGGCTGCTGACCATTTAACACTCAACACAGGTGGTTAAAACTAATTAAGACCTGCTTTAAAATCTACTTAGCTGAAGGGAAGAGTGAGTGCTCAAAATATTAAGATAAATTCTTTCAATCCTGAAAGCTCTTAACAGTATAATTATAAAATGTGATCTTTTTAGCTAAGGAACATTATCACTTGCTTCTAAAATACTCGAAATAGCATCCAAATTTCTTTATCTAAAGTGCTAACCCAGTGAGAGCTTAATAGCCAGGGGAAAAAAGAATCCTAGATAGCTTCTGTCCTCTAAACCTCTTATCCTTTCATAATATTCACAGTTCTGGCATTTCATTAGTGTCTTGATTTTAGGGAGATTCTTAAAAGACAAAGGGTACAATAACCTAACTGCAAACTGCAATACTGAGTAAAGGATTAATTCAAGAGATGTTGGTTCTCATAGAATGTCTTAACTGACTGCTGAAGCAAGATACCTAATAATAGCTAAACCTTGTAACTGCAGCAGCTCGGCTAAAGCCAATACAGTTCACTATTTTTAGGAGTAGGACTTCTGAACAAAAACCATGTAAGCTAACGGTGCCATTCTCAAAAACTCAAAGAAATTACTCTTAGAATCCACACAAAAATGGAAGCAAACTATTTCCACAGCCATGTAGGCTAACTACTTCATCATGAACATGACAACTATACAATTATTACCAAGTGCTCCATGAACAAATTTCTATACTCACTTTCCATGCATTCAATACTTATTTATTCTTACTAAAGAACACTTCTCTTTTTAAAAAAATATTGTTCAAAGAAAGTACACAATGGTTTTGTAAGTCATTCCTCCCCTGCCCCCACCCGTTTCTAAAGCCTTCCCCTCCCACTACCAACCCCTTTAAAAGATTTTTTTAAACTTGACTATCATTACCTTTGCCATAACCTCGGGATCAGGATCTTCTATAGGATCGGCCCATTCAACAGTTCCAACATTTCCCCAAACCTTGACTTTACCACTCATTAACCTACGCCTTGCCTGAGCAGCTGTTTTGTGATCTTCATATTCAAGAAAGCAAAAGCCTCTGTTTTTTTTCTTGTCGTCTGGTTGGTGGTATAAAATGACGTCTGTAAGACCCTCTGAAAGTAAGTAACCATTCCAGAAAAATTAGATAAAATAACAAGAACAAGTAGATCAAATGATTTATTTTTCTAATAATACATGAATATCAAAATAAAAAATAATCACTTATCTTTACAGGGGACTCTCCAGATATATATATATATATATATATATATATATATAAAATTAGATCTAAGGACAAATCTGCTTCCATTAATGAGGCATAAAATCTTTACATAGCTGCTTTAGGAAAATGGCAGTATAGGTCAGATATGGTTACACATTTTTCTTATCATGCAAGTAAACACCTCAATTTTCTGAAATTACTCTTTTCTAGCCTCAGATATTGATTAGCTTTATTTAAAAGGAAATAGGATATATTACTTACTAATAATAGAATTTCAAAAGTTCCTGGAGACTAATAGACTGATCATTTATATTACTTACTAATAATAGAATTTCAAAAGTTCCTGGAGACTAATAGACTGATCATTTATTTGTTCAACATTCTAGGCAGACAAAAATGTTTTAATGAAAGCACCCTGTCATTTGGAAATGATTATAAAAATTGCTTTACAGCTCAAAGAAATAGTACAATACTGACAATGTATAATCTCTGCTTATAGCAAGAGTATCTACACTAATAAAAGAGAAACATGCAAAATGGTGTCACTCCACTACGCTCACCAGCCAATCAGGATGACTATGCAAATTAACCCAACAAAGATGGCAGTTAATTTGCATACACAGGCCAGGAGCGAAGACTGAAGGCTCCAGCCGGAGTGAAGACTGAAGACTGAAGAGGCTTGGTTTCTCCCCTGCGGCCACAGCAGAGAAGCCAAGCCTCGCTGCAGCCGCAGCAGAAAATCCTAGCCTCGAAGCCTCGCTGCGGCCAGAGGGGAGAAGCCTAGCCTCAAGGCTTGGCTTCTCCGCTGCAGCCGGAACAAAGACCTGGGTCCCAGGTGCTGGAGGAAAACCAGTGCCGGCAGCCAGGGGAAGGAAGGCCTATTGCGCGAATCTTCGTGCAACGGGCTTCTAGTCTATATATATAAAAGCCTAAGCAACTGTTACCACCGGATGACCAGATGACCAGCTGGTAGCTATGATGCACACTGACCACCAAGGGGCAGACACTCAACACAGGAGCTGCTGCTGGTGGTCAGTGCCTTCCCACAACCTCCTGCAGCTGGCCAACCTCCTACAGTCCCTCCCCCTGGCCAGCCAGCCCTGTTCAGCCCTGACTGGGACTGGGTTAGACGGCCCAATCAGCCCCGATTGCCGGTCAGGCCAAGGGACCCCACCCATGCACAAATTCGTGCACCAGGCCTCCAGTTCATATAATAAAAGCCTAATATGCAAATTGTCCCCTTGACCCAGAGCTCAACCAGGGGGCGGGGCCGGCTGGCCAACCGCCCACACCCTCTCCTCCCTCCCCCGGCCCTGGGAGGAAGAGAGGCCAAAGCCAGCAGCCGCTAGAGACACTACCCGTGTGCAAATTTCATGCACTGGGCTTCTAGTTATTCCTATAATGTGGAAAAATCAAATCATTACACATCTAACAACCCTACTAAGAGCGTCAACTACCACCTAAAAATGTATACAAACACCCAAAGAAAGATAATCTTCCAAAAACAGGATGTACAATAATGATTCTCAAGATAGTTCAAATCCCAGTTGCATTCCTTAGTAACTACTAACATTCAGCAAATTATTTCCCTAAACCCTTTGTGCCTGTTTTCCTTATCTGAAAAAGTCACCTATCTCACCCTGACCAGTGTGGCTCACTGGATAGAACATTGCCCTCACAGGGAAGGGTGATGGGTTAGATTCCAGGTCAATGGCACGTACCTGGGTTGCAGGTTCAATGCCCAACATGTGCAGGAGACAACCAATCGATGTGTCTCTCTCACACTGATGTTTCGCTCTCCTTCTCCCTCCTCACTCCCTTCTAAAAAAAAAAAAAATAATGGAAAAAATATCCTCTAGTGAGGATAACAAAAATAAAAATAAAATAAAAAGTTACCTATCTCACTACCTATGGTTGTAGTGAGAATACAATGAGTCAATAAATGTAGTGTTTAATACAGTGCTTGTCACATAGAAGTATGCATTTAGCTTCAGTATTAAAAGTTGTACCTCCTTCCAAATAAATCCAACTTACCTGTTACTTTGCTAAATTCTTCAAGAATCTGTTCCTTGGTTTTACTCTTAGGAATAGAGCCCACAAAAAGCCTATTATTGGCAACCGAGATGCAGACACCAATGTGTTTTCCAGAACGAATTTCATGATTATTATACTGAAAGAGGAAAAAATACACCCGTTTTTAAAATACTCATAATATTCAGTAAGTGCTCATTGTAGAAAGATATGCATATCCCATACACAAATACAAAATCTTTTAGACAAATTAAAATGTCAACACTATGTTTCTCAAGTGTTTATCCTTTAAAAAGTAGTTATGCCCGACTGGCATGGCTCAGTGGTTGAGCATCAACTTATGAACCCGGAGGTCACAGGTTCGATTCCAGTCCGGGTTGTAGGCTTGATCCCCAGTATGGGGTGTGCAGGGGGCAGCTGACCAATGATTCTCTCTCATCATTGATGTTTTTATCTCTCTCCCCCTCTTCTTTCCTCTCTGAAATCAATAAAAATATATTTATTTTGCTTAGCATAATGTTCTCCAGGTCCATCCATGCTGTTATAAAAGGTAAAAGTTCTTTCATTTTTACAGCAGCATCGTATTCCATTGTAAAGATAAACCACAGTATTTTAATACACTCATCTGCTGATGGGCACTTAAGCTATTTCCAAATCTTAGCTGTTGTAAATTGTGCTATCAACAATAAAGAATTAAATATATATAATACACACACACACACACACACACACACACACACATTTTTAAAAGTTACCATGGCCCAGCCAGTATTGCTCAGTGGTTGAGCATCGACCTATGAACCAGGGGGTCCTGGTTCAATTCTGGGTCAGGGCACATGCCAGGATTTCAGGCTCAATCCCCAGTAGGGGGGAGTGCAGGAGGCAGCCAATCAATGATTCTCTCTCCCTTATCATTGATGTTTCTATCTTCCTCTCCCTCCCTCTCTAAAATCAATAAAAATATATATTTTTAAAAAGTTACCATGAAGGCACTGTACAAGGAAATTATAATCTGAGACAGATATGAAGATTAAACTGATAAGACACAATAAACAAGTTTTAAATTAAATTAATGCAAAAAAATTGTCAAGACCTTGAAATTTAGTAAACTTGATAAACTAGGAATCAGGTCTGTAGCAGCTTAAATACAAAATAGTTGATTCCAAAATCCTTTAATTACTATTTATACTTAAACCCATCCTGCCAACCAGTTGTCCTCATGCAAGGGAAACTGATTCAAATACCAGCAAGCTTTCTGCCTTTCTATAAACCAACACCTAAATTTATTTTTCCATCCCCCCCCCCTTAATCTCTTACCCAAAATAGCAATAATGAATTTTTGACTTCAAATACTTAAGTCTAAAAGGGAGAATCTTGTTAGTCTAAATCCAACTCTACTTCCCCACCCCCAGTTAAATTTTATTAAGCCTGCAATAAAGTTGGAGGAAAAACAAGTGGATTGTAGTAATTACAAAACTACAGTAAAAAGTACTTAATCTTCATGTAACCATATCCTGTAGAAGAGTGAAATACTGTAGAGGCAAAACCCAATCTGTCAAAGTGACAAATCAGTGTTAATTACAAACCAAAGTTCAAAAGTATTCAAGTTATCTGGAAAAGTGGATTATATATATATTACATAGTTAAAACCACATCAAAATTTCAAGGTAGTAATAATGGTGTCAGCAGCAACAATAATTATTGATTAATCCTCCTCCACATCTGGCCTCAATATCTACCTTAAATGACATACAAGTGAAGCTATACAAACTAAAGAATCAACATGAATTTCCATACAACTTATAGACCCAGCGTGGTGGCAAAAGTAAAACCACCCTTCTCTCCCTATTATTCCCATTCTTAAATAACAGGTATATGAAAAGAAAGCATACATTAAGTCAGAAAATAGATCTCTTCCTATCCCTTTCCCCACCTCCAGATATTCAAAATTTAACATAATGCTCAAACACCCTTCCTTCAGTTCAGAATAGTTGTACTTCCAAACCCACCTACTCTGTTCACTCTACACAAGTCTGTGGTCATTATGAACCCAGGATTCTCTCTACTTATTCCAGAGACATTTTTTTTTTTTTGCCTATTGAAAAAACACACACACAACTCTCAAAGGCTTCCCATCACCAAAAAGATAAAGTTCAAATACCTGTACATTATAAATCCATCTTAAATGCCTTAATCTCCACAATACTATAATCTTAGCTATTTACATCATTTCTCAAACAACTTTCATACTGCTAACCAAGCCTCTGAATAAAATGCTTTCCCTGAAACTTCCACCATCCAAACTCCTCTGCATACTTGTAGATTTGAGCTCAACCATGAGAATACCCTACATCCCGAAATCCTATAAAGGTCAACAAAAGCACCCTTCTATGTTAATATAGACCAATAGTTCTCAACAGGAGTCATTTTTGACTCCCAGAGGACATTTGACAATGTCTAGAGACTATTTTGGTTGTCAACTAGGATTGTGAGCCTTGCTGCTGGTATTTAATGGATAGGCAGAGGTCAGAGACATTACTAAACATACTGCAATTCACAGGATAGCCCAGCATTTAGAAAAAATTATCTGCTCTATGAGGCTGAAAAATCATGCCACAGACCGTTTTCTCATAGTGTTTACATTCTATTTATACCAAAAACCTCTTAAAAGTAGAAATATATGGGTTACCTGCAAATAGTAGTTATGGCTGAATCCATTATTGCATGAGATTACAGACAAGTAAACTACAATATCCTATTTCACAAATAAGTTCACCTAATACAATAAATTGTTTTCGGCTATGTATATTTCCTAGATTTTTATTATCTAGCATCAAATAGGTTAGTGCAAATCAATGGCTTTCAATTTGGTCATTTCATCTTTTTTAACTCCAGGAGTTGACAAAAACAATTAAAATATTAAAAAAAAAAAAAAAAGGAAGGGAAGGGAAGGAAATACAAAGTGTTTAAAGGGAGAAACAGGAGTTATTTTGAAGATGACAGGATTTGGTATAGCTTTCCCTTTTATATTTTTGTTCCCCAAATGTTCTAAGAGCAGGAACTGTTTAAGAAAATACTTGTGTGTGATTTTAATTTTACAAAAAAAAATTTAATTACTGGTTATACCACTTCCATCAATATTTATAATGCTGCTTCAAAGTAGTAATGAGTGTTCCCATTATTATAGACAGAAGAAAAAGTTCTTCCCTTCCAATCCATTATCATGAGCCCTGCTATGTTTAATCAAGGCAGGGTAGGCAGAAGGTATATTTAGGATGGCTGTGGATGACATGAAGATTTAACAGGATTTATAAAGTAAACTATAACACCATATTATTTTACTAAAAAAAAAAAAAAAGACTTGAAACAAGGACAGCTAGCCTAAAGAGCAGCGGTTCTCAACCTGTGGGTCGCGACCCCTTTGGCGGTCGAACGACCCTTTCACAGGGTCGCCTAAGACCATCCTGCATATCAGATATTTACATTACGATCCATAACAGTAGCAACATTACAGTTATGAAGTAGCAACGAAAATAATTTTATGGTTGGGTCACAACATGAGGAACTGTATTTAAAGGGCCAGAAGGTTGAGAACCACTGCTATAGAGAGTAAACTGGCTCTCCAGTGAAAGTAAGTCACTAAGGAACAAAGATCCTCTGAGCATACTGTTCAAGTAAAGCAAAGGTACTAGAAACAAACATTTAAACAATGTCCCATTTCCCACATGCAGATTAAGCATGCACTTTCATATATATATGAATTGCTTAACTTTCCTAATTTTTCAGTTTTAAAGACCAATCAATCATCGTAAATTCAAAAATAAACTTCACATCCCAGCTGGATGACAGTGAGTTAGATAGTAGAAAGGCATTACAATAATCTCTCAAGAGAGAGTCTAATTTGCTGATAAACCCAACTCTCAAGTGTTAGTATATCAGGACACTATGATGGTTTCATAATTTTTAAAAAGTGAGTCTTTCTAAACTCTTCTAGAAAAGTGGGCACTGATGTTAAGTTTTAGAATCTAGCTTTCAGATCCTGTACCACAGTGAGGTGACCAAATAAAATAAAGATGAATTTTGAACATTAATCAATGCAATTTCAGTATTTTAAACACCAAAACAGTTGTACGGTCTGGAACATTTCTGTCATCTAGGCTCAAAATAACAAGTCATTTTTCATTTCCTCATAGCCAGTCATAAATCCCCAGAAATTTAGCAATCTCAGATTTGGAATCTGATCCAGAAGTGGATGTTCAGTCCTAACTCTTCTTATAGCAGCAAAGCCATTAACCTGCAAGCTTGTCTACTTTATTTTTTAAACATTTAATTACAAAGTCTTCTTTACATACTTAACCAAAATTTACTTCCTCAAAATTCTACAATAACTCTATTTTCTCCCCCAAATGACAGCACTTCATTTATCTGCACACAATGCTCAAGACTCAATCGTTCTCTATATGCTTGATTAATAATCACTCCTTCCCTGATACTGGCAAAATAAAGCGCCTCCTAGAGTGTCATCAAATAGTGACATCCATAACATAATATTGTAGATGCAGACTGAGACTGAGGAGTTTATAATAAGCTAAAGACTATTACTAATCTTCCATTTCTAGACACCATGCCTCTATAACATGTAGTCCATGATTACCTTAGCTTATTTGGCAACTATTCCACATTGCTGACTCACACTATAGCTTCCATGTGATATTAGTTGTATAGAACTTGTCTTTTGTCCTTACTCAATTCCATCTTGCTGGTGTGAACTATCTGTCCACCAAAATCTTTTGAGATCCTGATATTGTCATCCAAGCCATTTATCACTTTATGCAGACTCAAGTCACCAAACATGTCAAGGACAGTCGAACTACACCCTCATTTACTTCACTGGAAAAAAATCAGAACCAACAATACACCACTATTATTTCTCCCTTCAAAATCTTTAATCTCTCTCCTTTATATTGCTGCCTCTCTCCTGGCCTTTGTTCTCTTCACCCAAACATCCGTCACTGTTCTGCCATTTATATCATGCTACCCATACCAAGGCTCAACATTTTAATGGCAACTTAGCCCAGCAATCATGACTAATGCCTTTATACAAGTTTCATCTCCTACTTCTTTCCACCAAACACACTTGCTTTAACTAGAGTCACCACCTATTTCCTTCACTGTCCTGCTCAAGCCTCTTTATCACAAAGCCTTCTCTAAGCAATCTATCCTTTCATCCCTCAGTTACCCTTGGATCCATCTGCATCTACTTCCATTGTAAATTAGCCTCACATGTCCTGGAAACGCTCAAGTCAAGAGCTGAATCAAACTACCTTGTAAGCCCATAATAAAAATTTTCATGATAAGCCCACTAAATATTTGCTAAACTGCTACTAAAATATTTTTGTGGAGCTATCTTGTCAGCTGCATTCATCAAAATGGCTGTGCACATGTTACAGTGGTATACAACCACTTTGGTAAATAAAACCGTCAGTAGTTATAAAACCATTAACTTTAAATATGCAAATAGAGATCAACCATTCCAGTGTTTGTAACACAGGCACTATTAGTATTTTCAGCAGGATTTTTCCATTACACAGGGGTGGGCAAAAGTAGGTTAAAATACCAGCCATCGTTACCTAAAAGATAAATCATAAGTAAGGATATAAAATAACAATATTAATACAAATAAGTAATACAATAAATATATAATATAAGAGTAAACTCTGTTTAGAGAACTCACAACTATAAACCTACTTTTGCACACCCTGTATAGGACTGTAATGGGCATTGCAACGCCAGTGGCCTTAAGCTCCAATCCTAGTACCATACCACAAATACATACACACACTTGCCTGCTCTTCCTCCTGATCTTTGTGACAATGCCAACCATTACATCTACTTCCAAATACTCCCCAGGGGGTGAGGGGAAAAGCTTCACCACCACCACCATCCCCCATTAATCTACAATAATCCCCTTGACTGAAGGTAGCACAGAATAAATCACTGCAAATGGAAACTAGAAAACCTTTCAATAGAAAAATGGCCCACAGCTAATACAGGAATATTATATATTCTAGGGTCATGAATAATGGATTAGATGACACTGGCCTGCCAGTCAGGTTATTTATCCAGGATCTACTGCATAGTGGCACTGTTCTGACAGGGAACACAGCCCTGGCCAATGTGGCTCTCAGTTCGTTAAGCACCATCTTGTACACTGAAGACTCGCTAGTTCAATTCCTGGTCAGGAAAAGTGGTGCCTGTGGGAGGCAGCAGATTAATGTTTCTCTCTCACATCACTGTTTCTCTCTCTCCCTTCCTCTCTCTAAAATCAATAAAAACGTATTTTTTAAAATACAGAAATAAATGTCAGGGAATACTGGGGGGAAAAAAGCTTATATCCTGATGATGAGACATAAGCAAATAACTTCTACAGTCAAGAAATAATTTTAAGTACATCTAAGCATTCTATTTTATCAAGTTCATAATACCATTATGGGGCAACTGGGTGCTTGGTGCTCAAAGTCAGAAAAGGCCTTCTAAGAAGACTTGATAAGAAGGCAGCAGTCGTGATAACTGGTTGAAGTGTTAAAAAGCAGGACAGCAGAAGGTAACCTTGAGATGGAAATAGAGCTTATGTGCAGGACAAAAATGGCAAAGTATGGATGGAAGGATAAAGAGTAAGAGGAGAAAGGTTAAAAAGAAACTTGAAAAAAAAAAAAAAAGAAACGGGAAGATAGGACCTCTTTTGAAAACCATTATTAGAGTTTTCAGCATGGGAATGTTTGTGATCTAATCTATGTTGCTGAATGGTTAAAACTGCAAAGAAGCAATAAAGAGCAGTGAGACTAACTAGGAGGATTCTATGAAGAGTACCTTAGACTAGGATGACAGCAGTGAAGATACTGTTGCCTTAATTTGTTGTATCTAGTTAACAATAGGCACTCCTAAGCAAACCTAGTATCAAACTAAAGCAGTATGACCTCAGCAAGCCACCCAGCCAATTTACTCTTCTGCAAAAAGAAAATAATTCCATGTACCTTGAAGAATGGGTTGAGATGGTACCCTATATAATAAAAGCCTAATATGCTAAGTGTCCAGTCATCCATTCAACCAACCAAAGTGTAATATGCTAATGATATGCTAAGGCCGCTCAACCGTTCGCTATGACGTGAACTGACCATCAGGGGGAAGATGCTCCGACCATTAGTTTAGCTTGCTGCTGGGGGTACGGCCGATCCGGATCTAGACTGAGCAAAACTGGCCGGACATGCCGTGGAGCCCACTCACAGTCCCTCCCCACCCTGATTGTGCAATGGTGGGATCCCTAGGCCTGGCCTACGCCCTCTCGCAATGCAGGACCGCTTGGGGGATCAGAGAGCTGGTTTCGCCTGATCCCACAGGTCAGGCTGAGGGACCTGGGTCTCTATTTTAAAGATAAAAATTTGTGCAAATAGCACAGCTCCTATGAAGCATTCAGATGGTAGTTATTATTCACCTTTCCACAAATTTAGTTCTAAATTATCATCACTTGGGGATGAATTTTTTATTGCCCAAAATCCAAGGCAGATATTGGCCGAAAATGAGGTCATTTAAGTTTGCAGTTACTTCTAACTCCATGCCTCTTCAGCAATTAATGTCAATTAACCCATTTTTACAAATAATTCAGGGGCAAATTTAAAATCTACAGTGCTTTTAATCTATGGAGGAAATTCATTGCTGCATTGCCCAAACTGGTTTGGCTCAGTGGATAGAGCATTGGCCTGCAGACTGAAGGGTCCGGTCCCGGGTTCAATTCCAGTCAAGGGCACATGCCCAAGTTGCAGGCTCAATCCCCAGTAGGGGGCGTGCAGGAAGCAGCCAATCAATGATGATTTTCTCTCATCATTGATGTTTCCTCTCCTTCCTCTCTGAAATCAATAACACACACACACACACCAACCTCATCCAAATCAATTTGAGTTTTGTATTTTAGAATTTTTAATTTCCTCAAAAATCTAGTCCCTTCTTTTACTGCTAAATTAAGGCAAGTCTCCCAATTTTATTATCACCATAATCCTAGTCATGGTGAAGCATCCTTTATCCTTTATAAAAATACCACTATCACTAAGAATATATTTTAAAAGCACCAAAATAAAATGCCAAACCTCCTATTCATCAGACAGTAGTCCTTATATAATAAAGAGCTAATGTGCTAATTAGACCAAATAGCCAACAGACATTCTGGATGAAGCTGGGACTGCGAGGGCCAGCCAAGGCTTTGAGGGGCTGCAAGGGCCGGCCAGGACTGCGAGGGCCGGGCCCCTTGCACGAATTTCGTGCATCAGGCCTCTAGTAAAAAATAAGTATGGCCCAGCCAGCGTGGCTCAGTGGTGGAGCATTGACCTATGAACCAGGAGATCACGCAGGGTTCGATTCCCCGTCGGGGCACATGCCCAGGTTGTGGACTTGATCCCCAGTGTGAGACATGCAGGAGGCGGCCGATCAATGAGTCTCTCTCATCAATCTTTCTATCGCTCTCCCTCTCTCTAAAAATCAATAAAAATAGTCTTTAAAAAAAATTAACCCTAGCATCTTCAACTATCAAATATAGGAATTTCAGTCACGGAATTTAATAAAACGAGTTTGAAGGAGAATTATATAAGCCACAATTTAAAACATTAAAATTCTTTTTTAAAAGTTAGAAAAATCACAAGGTCCTCACCTAATAACTTGTATTTTTAAATCAAGCACTGCCACTCACCACAAAATCATTTATTTCATAAACTAGAAATTTATCATCACAATGTTTTTTGTGAAATATTTCTGAAAAAGGGATGGCCAAAAACTCTGGGAACCCTACCTACTACAGTTACTTTGTTAAACTTTAACCTTCCTGTAAGTTATAAACAATAATCACTAAGCCAGATGTCTCATAGAATCAGGAATTCTGCCATACTACCATATAGATCCTGAGTCTGATCAAATAACTACACGTGCAAAGAATACTGCTACAGTGTGTACACAGAGAATGTAAAAGACAGGCACAGTCAGAAAAAAAAAATGGCTTAAAAGATACTACATGTGAAGACTGAAGGAAAAAACACACAAACTTACCAGTTTAACAGCCTCCTGAGCTGCTTCTTTTGCACAAAAAGTGACAAACGCATAACCTCTATTGAGACCTGTAAGTGGATCCATCATTAGACGAAGATCCCATATAGGTCCAGCTTTCTCAAATAATGGAACAAGTTCATCCTCAAATAGATCTCTTGGGATCTTCCCCACAAAAATCTGTAAATTAAATATGAAGTAAAAACCATGGAGAGTTTCTTTAGGAAACCAGACACCTGTGCATTTACCACAAAAGGTACAAGTTTTTAGTTTCTTTACCTCAGTGCCAACAGAAGGCTGCTGACCTGAATAAACGGAATCTGGAGGTGGTCCCCCATACTTCCTCTGTCCAGTGGTCACATCAAGTGTGTAGCCTGTTCTTTCCAAGAGTGCCTTAAAGAATTCAAATGTCATTAATACATTAAACTCACAAGACCACATTTGCATTTAGCAGTTAAAAATTGAAATAAATATTGTTCAAATTTTCCTCTTTATCTTGGCAACATTCCTACAAACAGGTTTCTGGTGTCTGTTTTAGAATTTCTCCTTTCATATACACTTGTAATAGCCCTAATTTATTGTGAAAAATCTCAAGATCCTGTTCAAATTATTTGCTGGTCTCTAATTACTGAGTGTGCTTAATGAACAACAGGAAACATATTAATCCATCAATAATTTTCAAGGCATGGTGTATCTATTCTAATACCTCCTTAAAAGATGACTGCACCGCCCTGACCAGGTAGTTCAGTTGCTTAGGAGCATTGTTCCAATATGCCAAGGTTGTAGGTTCCATTTCCAGTCAGGGCACATATAAGCAGCAGTCAATGGAAGCATTAATGAGAGCAATCTTATCTAATAAAGCGGGAATATGCAAATTGATCATCACACCGCAATGGTCAATATGGCCGCGCCCACAGCAGAGGCTGAGTTCCCTTAAGGGGCCTTAAGGAGCAATCAGCAGAGACCTGAGGCTGCATGGCGCTGTGCCAGGGCAGGGGACCTGAGGCCACACCCCCCACCATGCGGGGCTTGACGGGGAACCTCAAGGCATGCTCCTGGCCCAGGGGACCCCAGGCCGTGCACCCCACCCCAGGCCAGAGGACCTGAGGCTGCGCCACCCCTGACTGGCGGGGCTTAATGGGGGACCTCAAGGCGCACCCCCCGGCCCAGGCTGGGGGACCTCAGGCCACGGCCCCCCACCCCGGCGAAGGGCCAGGCAACCTGAGGCTGCCCCCCCACACCTGGTGGGGCTTGACGGGGGTGGGGCCAGCCGGGTCTGGATCTAGCCCAATGGGGGTGGAGCCGGCTGGATCTGGGTCTCGCATGATTTCGAGGCACACGTGGGAGGGCGGGGACTCGACCCTGGTTCCCGTGGCTTGCCCCAGACTCTGACAGGAGGAAGATTTTCACACACATTTTACTAATTTTCTTTCATCTCTGACACTTCTATTATAGAGAAAGGGCAAATATCAATATTAAACTATTTCCTCTAATTAATTCCCTTTTAATGTGCACCTAATAGAATCTTTAAAAAAAAAAAAAAAAGGCTGAGTTTAATTCGCTCCTGAAAGAGGAGATGAATGTCACATCTCCCAAACCTGGATTTCTTACCCAATAAATTCCCTATATCCCACACTCCTAGTACACATTGCCATTGTGGGCATTTCGCCAGCCTTTATAGAAATTGCACTCCTCAAACTAAGTTATAGTTAAGTCCAAAAACTTAGGAGCTACAGGAAAAACAACCTCTTATTCATTTGACAGTCAATACTTGATAGAATAGCATGGGTCTTTCAGAAAAAATAAAGCCAAATGACTTTGAAATCTTTATAAAATTGTAACAGTGTAAAATAACTTCTACATTTTATCTCTCTGAAAGTGAACTATTAGAATTTACACACTCATATTTACTTAGAGCATTGGGAGTTTCTCTTCATCCCTTATTATAAGCAAAAGTACTAGGAAAGTAGTAGTCCATGGTTAGCCTAAGGAAAAAACCAAGAATTATTTCCCTTCACCATCTCAAACAGCAAAGCACAAAACCAGTTTTCCAAATAATAAAACCAATCTGATAATTAGCTAATAAATTGTGAAATAAAAACACACCAGGCACATAACTTAGCAAAATTCCGTTCAATGATTTAGGATCACCTGTCTCTGAAAATGACCAGACACATTTAAGAATTTTCTACTCAAAGAATATTAAGTATTTATGAAGAAATACTGTTAAATGACAAAAACTCTTCTACTCCTAAACTTTAATAAAGCATTAAATATTTTAAGCAGTCTTTTTCTATTATACCCAAATGTTTGCTTAAGGGTGCAACATTGGTTAGTAACAAAAATAAACTCAAACCTATTACTATCACATATACTAAACCATTAAATGGCTCTTCTTCCCTTTTTTCCCATATGTAATCCCTGTGCTCCTTATACCTTAATGTTTATATATGGCTCAAATAATACTTTTTATGTCAATCCCTAAAAACAAAAAGGAAAAACTTATTCCTTGTTAACCACCTATAAAAATGCTTCTGCCTTCTCACAATTTAAGTTACAGCAACACTTTAAGCCACTCTTTTCCAAAGATAGAACTGAAAGTCACACAAATTACACTTTAAACTTTTTATAAAATTTTAGTAAGTCTAACTCCCAATGTAGATTTAATTACATTGGTAAAATTTCTATGGAAAAATTAGATTTACAGTTCAAACACAATTCACTGACAGCTAGACCTGTGAAAGCCTCAAATTTATGGATGCCCTTAACCACTAGCTCTATATTCAAAGCTTCATTCTTCCCACACCATTAAAACACCACCTAACACCTATACTGTTTTAATTCTTAAACCATAACTCTTGGTTCAAGAGCACTGGCACACTATATTAAGAACACCAGGTAAGCCCTGACAGTGTAGCACAGTGGTTGAGCGCTGACCCATGTATCAGGAGGTCCTGGTTGGATTCAGGGTCAGGACACATGCCCTAGTTTCAGGCTCTATCCCCCGTAGGGGGCGTGCAAGAGGCAGCCAATCAATGGTTCTATCATAGATGTGTCTACCTCTCTCCCTTCCCTCTCTGAAATAAATGTATTTTTAAAAGAAATCAGTAAAATTAAAAAACAAAAAACACCAGGTTAAAACTAGTATGATCACCACATTTTCTACACAAAAATCAAAACCTAATTGACTTTGAGAACATTTACTATTTCATAGGACCTTTAAAAAAAACCTCCCTTGCCCTGACCAGTTTGGCTCAGTGGATAGAGCGTCGGCCTGTGGACTGAAGGGTCCCAGGTTCGATTCCGGTCAAGGGCATGTACCTGGGTTGCGGGCACATCCCAGTAGGGGGTGTGCAGGAGGCAGCTGATCGATGTTTCTCTCTCATCGATGTTTCTAACTCTCTGTCCCTCTCTCTTCCTCTCTGTAAAAAATCAATAAAATATATTTTAAAAAAAAAATAAAAAAATAAAAAAAATAAAAAAAATAAAAAAAACCTCCCACTCCTAGCCTGTTTTCTCACTTTCATTTCCATGCTGCTTGTAGGAATGATATTAGCCTTAATAACCCATAATACTGAAGGGGAAAGAAGACAGTATTAAAATTCTAAATCCATTTCATTTGAGGGCTTGAGAATCCTAAGAGAAGCAGTCAACTGCTAAATGTACACTCTCCATCAGCATGGGCTGAACTGATCCCCTCCCATTTTGGTTCCACTGTCAGTAACCTGGACTTGCAGATTTTCAAAAACCATCTAAAATATGGTGGATGGACTTTTTTCAATCTTTTATTTAGAATACCAATAGCAAAGGTTTAACATCAGTATAGCTGGGCAACAAAAAAAACCCTACAACTTTAAGAACAGTGAATTGTTTTAGAAACAGTTAAAGGCAGAAAACTTTTCAAAAACAGTAATTACAAAAAATTCACAAATTATCTCAGGGTCATTAATTCTCAATAACTTAAAAAAAATCATTTCACATCCATAGAATATTTAGCAAAGCTATAAAATAGTTAAAAGAACTTTAAAACTGAAGGGAGCAAAGTACATACCTTAATTTTTGCCTCATCTGGTCCTTTGCTAGAATCCGCTACTTTGGTCCCCTGTTTTTCTCTCTGCCTATAAGTCTTCATGACTCCACATAAAAAGGCACTTTTGTTCTGAAAAGTAATTTTCCAATCCTATTTAATAATTATGTCATCTGTATCTTATTAAATCAAATTTAAACTACATCAAAAGTACTCAAGATTTTTATTCTTTTCACACTGACATTAAATTAGTATTACCTGAACATGAGAGAGATCACTGTCTTTAAACTGCTGAAGAACTGCCAATGCACCGTCTTCATTGAATTCCTTTAAAGCTTCGATAGCTCTTTCATCTAAATCACTATGTGCAACCAGCCCTGGAGAAGAGAAAACTTAATTAGTTGTCAACTTTTAATATTTTTGGAAAGATCTTTTTTGAGTACCAGATTTACCAATAAAGATAGCATGCGTGCCAACTAAGTATTCTTCCATTCCTCTTACCATCTATTTAATGACAAACACATACTTTAGCCATTTTGAAACTGCACTCTGAACTAAAGAAGCCCTCTCAACCACACTTACAATAATGACTCAATTTCTTTTAGACCTTGTTCTCGAAGTCAGATAGTTCTGAATACTAAGTATTTCTACAGTAAATATATAGGCTTACAAATCCTAAAATCAACCAACAAAAACCAAGGCTGACAACTGAACCTCTATCCATTTAAAATAACCACTAGAAAAAGCAAAAGCCACACCAAGACAGACAACCAGTCTACAGTTACCAAGTTAATTAGGAAGAATCCTACTATAAAAATACCCCCAAAAGTCACATGGCCTGTTCCCAACAGTTAGCAGCTGTTGCTACCATCATATACTTATCCATCTGGCCAGCCAGCCTTTATTTACCTCCTAACCTTTCTTTCTTCCTTCCCTCCCTCTACTATGTACAGTACACCTTAACCTGCAGTTCACAACTATCACAAGGCAAAACAAAACTCCAGTTCCCACACTTATTGGAAACCACAAAAAGTTGCTATTTTAGCTCAAAGCCAGAAATCCAATAGAAAAATTTCATAATGCAATTTTGCAAGTGTTAGTTCTTACCTGCAACGTAAATTTCATCTAGTTTTTCAGCAACTTTCTGTGGTAAACCAGCATCAAGCAATGTCTGAAAATTTTCTGAATGGATAACTGCAGAAGTAGTATCCATGGGCTCTTCAGTACCATTTCCATTAACATGTTCTGTAGCCATTTTTCCAGAGATCTGTTCAAACGCAATAAGCAAAATTAAACTAGGATCTTCAAAAAGGGTAGAGGACAAAATGAGAGCCCCAATCTTTACTTTCTCTACCAAGTTCGACACCAGCCTGGGCCTCCCTTGAAAGAAGCCGTAAAGTCACTATCGCCTGACAAGCCTGATGAGCGAGGGGCAAGAACGGATTCACTTGTTTTTCCTCGGCACCACCCCTGCCTCACCTGCTAGCACTCCCTAGGAAAAGCATTACCAATGGAGCCCGATCCGCACGAGGACCAGCCGGCGTGCCACAGGCAGCTGTGCCCGCACAGAGAGCGAGGTGCGTGCGGGTCGAGCAGAGCTCGGCCGTCCCCTCTCCAAGGTAAGCCCCCAAAGTGCGCGCTTTTCCCGCCTGCCGCTTCCAGATCGGTAACAACAGCCAGCGAAGAACAAAGCGCTCACACAAGATACCTTCCCACCCCCCAATTCCTCCACCCTTCACCCCCGCACCCCAGAGCCCCGCCCCCGGCTCCACACCCAGAGCGGCAGCCTCACCGCTCAGGGCACCGGGAGCCCATTAGAAACACGTGTCTGCGCCTGCAAATGTCCTACAACTTCCTCCAACGGAAACCACCGAGTCCCAGGCCCAGACGCCGGCACCGGCTCCCAACATCAACCCGAAGCCGCGGAAAGCATCAGCAGCACAAGCTCACCCCTCAACACGATGCCGCGTCTGCCACAGGCGCACCGGCTCTCCCCGCCCCCCACCCCCACCGTGACACATGGCTCTCT